ACCATTGTGGCATCCTCAAATAAAGTTATAGTCACATTTTGGTTATCTTCCACGATGTTTAAGACCAACCTATATCTGCGATGATTGTATATTGTATTATGAAAGTTTTGTATACATAAAATAATAGACGTGGTCTTTTTGTGATGTTTAATACCTTAGAGTGTGTTCCACGACTTTGCTGTTGCACTTTTTGCATGACTTGTAGTCGTCGTTCTTCTTAGTTGCAGCGGCACAATTTTTACACGATTCATACCATAAAGATAATGCATTCATGACTTTATCAATGAAACCTTTGAAAGAATATAATTTTTCCTGTGATGAAAAGAAAAATATAATGAAGGTAGTCCGAAATTTAGAGAAGGAAATCAAAAGCCATAGTCCAGTGCAGTTGCATTCAAACTAAACTAATTCAATAGTTGATTTACAAACTTAAGTATGATGTATAGAATAATGAAAATTAGTTAACTAAATACTTTCCTTACAAAATTTTTCACACACACACACAAGTAATCTCGAAAAATAAAAAGTATTTTGTTAACACAAATCATTTACCTGTTTGAATTCATTGGTGAAAGACACAACAAGACAGGCCAAAAGTATAATGATTGCCAAACTGTAACAAAATTGTTGTCCATCTTTTTCTTTTGTGCGATATTTTTTCTCTTTATAGTATATGACAATGATTCACATCAATGAAATGTACATACAATTTTATTCACAAATATATCGTATAAGGCCACAGTGCTCAATGCAATAAAAGCTTTCCATTAATTATTCAGACTTTGGTTGATCAAATAATAAAGCTAAACTCCCTCATCTTTGAGTCGATCAACACACGTAGAGTTTGCAGGCTGGACGATTCTAACTTTCCTAGAATTGCAGTTGCATATTATTAGGTATTCATTACCATAAATGTGTTCATTTGATTGAGTCGGTGCAAATTTTGACAACTGCACGTATATTAGATTGGATTTTTTCCTACAAATATATGTACACACAAAGATATTTACGCAGGAAAAGTTGTGGTATTTATTTTACTTGTTTATCTAATGTACCTTATTAAGCTCGTCTAGGTTGAACAAAATTTGATGTAAGGTTACAGATTCGACATCCTTAATCTTTTGTCATAGGCTTCTCATGTGCTTTCAACCTAATAAATATTACATGATGACAGAAGATTTTCTTTTTTAAATTATATTGTATTATATACATCTACTGCCATGAATTTAGAGTACCATTGATTATATTGCTTGTTTTCTTCACAAGGCGTGTTGATTTCCAGAATAGATGCGCCATTCGTTTGCAATTGCATTTGACCTAATGATATAAAAGTGAAAAATATTAAAATAGAAAGTCCAACTCTTTCACAAATAAAAAAGTTAGAATATAAATACCAATTTTCAAAATTAATTACTTTTAGTATTTTATAATAAAATATTTTATGTTGTTACCGTTGTATATCTTCGGTGTTGTTAGCTTACTGAACGTTACGAATGGCCTCTGTGCAGCCATATCGTGTAGAGCAGATCTTCATTTTGCGCCATACTATCCCATAAGGAGACTATAATGGACGGACACTTATAAACACAAAGAATGTAAAACTTTATTATTATTATTATTGAAGTCTGAGCATTACTTTAGTTCATTCATTGACAATTTATAAAGACTATTATTCATATTTTTAAATAGATAATGGAATTCAAATATATAGAAGCTTTCATACATTTTTTATATTAAAATATATTTTGAAATGATAATTATAAAATACATATTCAAAAATAATGTTACACATTCTATTATCTAGAATATTGCATGCGATAGCCCACAATTTATATGAATTTTTATTTTAAAGGGTTTGAATCTTGTAAAATTAGAGATCCAATTGTTAAATTTTATTATAATGAAACATACCTTTTAATTAAACTATGTAGTACATAATTTATAGATTCATACTATAATAAAATAAAATTTGATATTAGTTAACATTATTAATTTTTGTAATAATTTATTACCGTGATCAAATATTTTAATTCTAGCAATTCAAACTAAATATAAGTAAAAATAATAAATATAAAATAATAATGCTATTTTTTTTATATTTTAATATTTTCTATTATGTCCATAAATTGATGTGCAAAATACCTTTTTTGTTTTCTTTCATATTATATCATATATTTTTAGTTATTATTATTATTTTTTTTCTTATCTGTCCTACTTGATAGTCATGTTTTTGAAAAATGCATTTTAGTAGTTTTATAGACATTATATTTGTTTCGTGTAAAGTTTAAATAATTATGTTATATCAACTTTGTTGATTATGACATGCAATTATGTAATTAGTAATATAAAAATAATATATATTTAAAATTGTAATAAATTTATATTATAATAGTTTATACTCGGTATTGTATGTTGTAAAATTGAGGATAGTAATTTTCCTACTTTTTTTATTCTTCCACAAACTATTTAGGAATATATTTTAATGCAATTTAATCTTATCATTGGAGGCCAATGATTAAGTATCAGATTACATCAAATCTTTCATTGTCTGAGATAGCAATTGCACACAATATAGGAAAGGATCAAAACTCAAATCCCACCACAACAAACACATCAAAGTGAAAAAAGGAAGAACTGTAAAGAATGCTGCAAGCACATCAACCTGACAAACTATTGAAATTAAGTTGTACAAAACGAAAACAAACACACACACACAAAAAAAAAGGCATGTATCTTATTGTTTGGATATTTGTTCTCATCTCCCTCAATACTCAAACAAGCCCCCATATTTCCTCACCTGGCCCAACTCTAATTCAACTTTCAACTTCCATACACTATCAAGCCAAAACCAAAAGACTACAGCATGTTTCTTGATCACATGTTTCCTCACTTCCTTTAACTTTGTTATATGAAGAAGCAAATAAAGTGTTACACGATACAGATTGACATGTATTGTATAGAAAATTATTCCAAGATCCAACTCAATAGTCAGTTACAATTGCAGAGTACTCTCTCAATTTCTTCAAGAAAACACACCATGTAAAGCATATTCATTAACAATGCTCGTAAAAGAAGTATTTCTGAAAAGAGAAGACAATAGGATTGTTCCGCATTCGCCACACATGATATATGAAGAAAGTTACCTGTTATTCGCTTCAATGCAAACGGAAGGCCCAATGTACTTCACTCGATCCTCTGTAATAGATATATAAATATATATAAATCAACTAAATAAATAATTGAAAAAAGTTAATCTATCAAGAATCTTAGAATTTTAGGAATAAGACACTGTGAGAATAAATGACACCTTCCATTCAATTGTATCACCATGTTACAACAAGCAAGGTCGAAAAAATCGCCAGACGTTAGCTGGGCAGTAAAGGACATCCTAGCGCCTAGAGCTATTTTGGTTTAAAAGTATTTTTTTTTTTAATTTTGGGATTGAGATTGCTGTTGAAATTCATGGGGCTGGCTGGATGGATCGCGTGCTTT